TGAAGGACCATAAAATGATATTCCTAAAAGAAAATATCATCTCACTCCTTTTTCTATCACTCAAGGTTTCCCATCCCTCTCCATTCTGTTCTTCATCTTTGACTAATATTTCTCTGTTATAGCCAAATTTATACCGAGAGAGTTGAAGACAGAAAATAGAGTAAATGTAATGAACCGACCAAAGGAGTGATGTAAGTAGCAAAAGGGGGGCAGAAGACACTTTAGCAAAAGATGAAAAGAAGACAAAACTAATTAAGGGAGCACTAAGGGTGTGGCAACATGGGACAGAATGCTGATACTCTTGAGCAAGGACAAACACAATTATTATTATGTTATCATTTGTTTGCTTGATTATAAAAAGGAAGTAGCTTAGCAGTAGAAGGGCATGAGGATTGTGATATTGATGTTTTGAGAGTTGTAAACTAAAGTCACTAGTGGAGACTTGCAGCCTAAAGCTGCTAACTTGTGAAAATCATTTGTTATCAATCAAAGCTTCAACCTTTCCCCTTAATCTTTCTGTTTATTACAATTTAGGCTTGAAATTATTACAGTAAAAAGAAAATAAGGTGTGGCATATAACCTTCAACTACAAGCAAAACATTACTTTCGAAGAAAAAGGGATTAAAAAAATTAGAAAGAGAAAATAGAAGCAACATGGAAAAATTTCAGCAGTCTACCTGCTATAATGAGCTGTTTTCCTTTCAGCAGAAGCTCCTTGATAAGACTTGGGAACAAATTTCTCAAATTATCTTGCCCAGAATAGTCTTCATCTCTGCTTCTGTAACCATCATCATCATATCTGCCACCGAAGCCTCCATACCTGACCCTGTTGCTGCTCTGGGAACTGCCACCACCATAAGAAGCAGAACTTGACTTGTACGATATCCCCGTAGATGAGAGGCCAACATACCTATAAACAGATGCACGAGAAATTTCATGAGTATTTGCTATGTATACAGAGGAATTAGGCACTGATTATAGTACTTCAAAACGCACTTCTCACGGGTACTAGCAGCTTTTTTCCGAGCTGCTTCTATTTTATCCTTGTTATTAAGAAGAGCTACAATGTTTTCCGCCTTCTTTCTGACATTGATCCCCACATCCTTTCCACTTGGTTCAACATATTCAAAGCTTGCGCGACTTTACCAGACCAAAGCAATATGTGAAAGAAAAAAGGAATAAGATACATTTCTTGGACAATAATCATGATAACCCAAGAAAGATAAGATGAAAGGATTCATACTGAGATTTGAAAAGTATGTTCTATGATCTCATCAACAGCTCGTTCAGATCCATTGGCAATGAGATACTCTATCACAGCCAGTGCCTGGATAAGAGCCAATGCAATGATAAGGAGAAACAAAATATTAGCATGACTTCTCTAGGATTACAAACCTTTGCCAGCTAAAAGAGTTCAAATCACAGCAGATGAAGATTATAGTACCTTATAAACATAACGCCAATCCTTGCCAGTTTCTCCCAATCTTGTCCAGAGAACATTCATAACCATCTGGCATTCAGAACTTGCAGATAGCAAAAGAAAGGCCAGGCATATCAAGAAATCAAAAGTCAGAATCCTCCTTTCAGCTCAAATAACTCAGAGAATTTGAGATTAGAGGAATTTACAATTTTTTGGTGGCTACAGCTATTTCTGCCAGTGCACTTCCATGAGGGCCCCAAGGCTCATTATCAGTTGCATCCAGCACCTATCACAAATCACGGTGGTCAGATTCTATATGCATAAAGCAACTATTTGTAACAAGGATTTAGAACCCAATCCCTCGTGTTAAATGCAAAGTATAATGGATGGTCTGGTCAGGTCCATCATATAATGTGGATATTATTAAAATAGTTATTTGATTAAGTCTAATGTGTATGAGTACATTTGGACATTTGGTGTGCCACTCAATATCTGCTGCTCTAAACTAAAGGAGTTAGGTCGTGTATAATTGAACCCAACTTTAGCACTCAATGCAATGATGATACAAGGTTGATATTGTTTCATCCCGAAAAAAAAAAAAAGCAATGGTGATTAGCAGCAACATCAAGCAAGCAGCTCATGATACTGGATCCTTTTTAATTATCTTGCAAAAGTCTATTCAATTATCTAACCTCACAGTATGAAAAATCAGCAGAAAAGGAACAAGCTACCCACTCTTACCATTAATAAACTTCTGCGGTCAGATTTTTATTAATGTTAACTAAGATTATTCCCCTATTCTCAGACACCAAAAAAATTAAGTCCTAGAAAGTGACAATTTCAATCCACAAAATTTGATTAAATCCTATACCATGAAAATAGTACTCAATTCCATACATAGAAATGGCATGAAAAGGAGTGCTGTTCTCCTGAATTAGAATGTGTGAATATGCAAGAGCATCACAGAAAAGTCTCCAACAAGCCTTGTGTTGAAACAATAGACTGATACAGATTATCTATACAGTTCCTTTTCTTAAGGGTTTTATCTGATCAAAGGGTGCTCAAAGCAAGCAGATAATTTAGAATCCCAACACTGGCATTATTTGTCTAATGGTCATTGAAACACATATCACACGTGTTAACTTCTATCATCCACTAGGAGAAGCAAGACAAGGAGATTAAGCTCAGGTGAATGCCAACAGCTCAAAGCAACACTTGCAGCTTACTTAAAACTAATAGATAGACAGTGATGGAAGATGGAAGATGGTTCTCTTGGTAGTTTGATGGTGCACTTGGAAAGAAAGAAACCAATGCACCATGACAAATATGAAGAAAAAAAACCCATTGAATACAGCACCCCATAGTCCACCCAAAGAGTGCATAATTTCGTTTATGATATACATCAAAGATACACACCTTCTGCACTAGTAAAATCAGTTTGGTGTCCATGACTGAGCTCACAGAAAAACAAGATTTCACGTAAGCATGCAGAAGTATACATGATAAAGAAAAGGTGAATTGAGGAAGTAGACAAAAAGGAGCCAGTGGCAATTACAGTTGAGTACCCTAATAGCTGGCATTTCCAGATTATCATTGCCCTTATTTGATTTCGTCACCATTATAAATTTCCCGTTCCAAGTACAAGCTAAAGAGCTAGATTCTAGCCTCACTTTCCTGAGCTAGAGCCTAGAGCTCAGTGAGAGTTCAAGCTCAGTTCATTATCACTATATAATTGCATAATGCACCATATTCTGATAACCGCCCACCCAATTAAAAGGCAAATGAGGGGAAAACAAGAAAAGGAAAGAAAAAGAAAAAGGTACCTTGAAACTAAACAAAAAATTTCAAAATTTACATGTATCATTAATCCCCAAGGATTAGGAGTAATTTCCACCAAGGCACCAACGACTCTCTTCCTAATGGAAGTTATCTTCATGGGAGAAAACCAAATGACACTCAAAATTCTAGTAGCTAGAAGGTCATATTGCTCAGCTATCCATTAGGATTCAATACTAAGTGTCAAAGCAAGTTCTTTATAGATATATTTTTACTAAAAAAAAAATAGAGGATGCTTCGCTAAAAAAAAAATTAGTTCTAAGATATTACATTTTACAGAGTCCTGCATTGGGAAACCTCAAAAAATCGTCTACAGATTTACAACAAGCAAACCACACAATCAGAAACATTATCCAATAAACACATTGAAAGAGAGCTTATTTTGGTCATTAGTTCCTTATAAACTTGAAAAAGATTCTAAATACATGTTGCCAAGTACAAATCATATCCTTCACACTGATCACACACTTATAATAGAAAGAAAAACCCAGATCAAACCCGAGACATCCAGATCAAATACGACAGGAAAGTTAGTCATTCGATTCATACAATGAAAGAACCCAATATAAAATATTAGATCATACTTAGTAATTAGTATTGATTAAAATTGAAGCTCTTATAGCTAAAATCTTACCCCCCAAGATTGCAATTTCACTTCATTAACACCAAATTTAATAAATCAGAAATTCTGTACACAAAATGAATAAATCAATTAAAAACATAATGTATTTTCATTCAATAACTAACCTTTTGTTCGATCTCAGGAACCTTCAATACCTTCAAGTTCACCTCTCGTTTTCTACAATCAAAGTTCAAAATTACCCAAAATCAACAAACCAAAACCCTAATTTCCAAATTTTCAAACAAATTAATATTAAAATTGCCATTTAAACTAAATTTAGAAGAATTACATTTCGCGAACAGCTTGATCGACAACCTTCATGAAATCCATGTTGATTGAGATCTGAAAAATATATAACAGGATCAAATTATAATGTGTAAGCAAATTTTGAAAAAAAATCAACATAGATCTGAGATTGAATTAACTGATTTCAATTTTTTCACATCAAATTAATTGATTTCAATATTTTCATAAAACAAACAATTAAAAAAAAAAAAAGTAGACATACCTTATTGAGTAGCGAGAATCGGTGGTTCAAGGAAAGAGAGAGCAATTAATGGAGATTCGAAGTTTATTTTAATGGAGGATTGTAATCATGAAATTGCGAATTGTAATTGAAGAATGAACTTATTATCGTCACCCTTTTCCCCTTCTTAATTTATTTACAAGAAATTGAAATTGAAAATGTATGAATTTTTTTTATTTTTTTGGTTTTTTTGATAGAAAATTTACATAATGATTGTTCACTTAAATAATGGAGTAAAAGAATTTTTATGTCATCTAGCGTCTAGCCACTATTTACTGCATAAATGCCAAGTTGCCAACTGGTTTAAGTTGTGTACTTTTCACTTGATCTATGTTGTATGGATTCTGAATTTAAGATTTTTCAAAGTTTGGTCAAGATTATTTTGACATTCTTTTTTCATTGAATTTAATTGTATTACCACATTTTGATGTTTTTAAAAAAAATGTATTGAACTAATTATGAAACTACGAAACAAGTTAGTCAAGTCCGATACAAAATATTTACATGTTTAATAAGTTTATTAACACGATGTTACATGATAGTTACATGAATTACAAATTTATTTAATTTCTTTGAAAGAAGATTACAAAGTTTTTAGTATATATCAATACCGTTAATAAAAAAAAACACTAATATTTAATTCTCAATTAAAAATGACTTTTATTTTCAATTTTACTATAGATATATTACAAATTTACAAGTGCTTCTAACTTTAGTTAGTGTAGTAATTTAGTATTTATCCATTCATTGTGACAATATTACAATTTACACGGTAACTTAGAAAAGAAAAGTTTCATTTACACAATATATGCCATATGAAGTTTAATCCAAAAAAGAATTAAATTTTAAATTGCATGTAAAGCTATTGATGTTTCCTAATTAAAATTTAAATTGAATAAACATTTTCTACTTATTTTTATCTAATTATTGCACCCTTTTTTCATAGACTAGTTTCACTACTGCAAAAACAATTTAATGATCTTGTCAAGGAAAAAAAAAAAAAAAAACAATTTAATGATTCCTTCTAACATTGGGAATTGATATTCTCCATAGAAATACAATTGTTTATCAAATAAAGATATATAATAATTATGAAGATAACACATATCTATCCAAGACACAATTTGTCCACTACACACTTCGTTAAAGATAATTCAAACTCTTGTAAAGATCGAAAGTTCTTAAATGAAAAGATTTACTATCTTGTGAAAGGCTTATATTGAATAAAGTTCTAGTGAAGCATTAGATCTATTCCCAACTAGAAGGGGACTTCTCATCTAATTTGGTCATCTTTTATGAGACAAGGTTTTAGCATTAGGTTTTTCAATATAATTGTCGATGGTTTTTTTGAGTATTTTACTACACTTTTTCATGCTAGTCACAAGTTCTAATCTCTTATTGATTTTCATTTGTGAATATAACTTTTGTATGACTAGCTTAATTTCAAGTTGACAAAATTTGGTGAAATACTCCCTTAATCCTACATAAAGTTCTAGCAACTACTCTTGCTGTCACCAATTCTTTTGGGATTCCACTATAATGTGTTTGAATTAAGGATTTAAGAGGGAAGGAGGGAAGGGAGACATCTAATGTTCAAAAAAAGAAAAGGAACTAGAGATTTGGAGACAAATATAACCAAAGTTCATCTGTGAAACTTTATATTTCTACCTGCCATAGAGGCATAGACTCCTACAATTCCATGCACTTACATTCAATAACACATCTCCAATGCTAATCAGGATTCCACGCTTTAAAGATATAGTATCTGCACTCGAGCAACATACCATCAAAGCTACGAATTATATCAATGGCAAGCTTCACGTTTACATTGATGAACGCTATACATTCACCATATTGTAAAACAGACAGACAGCAATATAGCAAGCTAAGATTCATGCATCTACGACAATTAGCTTCCAGGGAGAACTCCCAGGCATCTCTGACATTCATGCAAAAACTACTCTGCTAAAATTACTAGAGAGATCCTCCAAGAAGTGCCTTGGAGAAGCTCTAGTAAACTAACGCGGGTTTAGAACTAAAGAGAAAAAACTGCCTCAAAATTCAGAACTGGAGAAAAGAAGTGTCTTAAAAAGTTCCATTTATTATTATTGAGATTGAGAGATTGTATCAGTACATCCAAAGCATTGCAAGAGACTATTTGTTCATTACATGTCCAGCATTCTTCCCCTTATCATGGCCTCGCTTTTCTCACTTGCTTCACTGGGCCTATGATGAAAACCTACATAAAACAACAGTACTATATAAGTAACATAGCAATGGTTTGCGCTTCAAGCTACACATTTGTAGACAAATGCAGTGAGTTCGTGATTATATGACAGTATATAATACAACACATTTAATTCCATAACCATAAAAGTCCCCTGATGTCTTTAATGAGGCTCCTATGTAGAGTGGGATTTAGATGAATGTAGTCTTGCATAATTGCAAAAATGCCTTTAAATAAAAGTTATGGAATACTTTCAACTAAATTACTGTTAAGAGAATAAAGAATTTGCAACAGAAAGGAGTTAACTTCTTTCCCTGATTGCATCAGGACTTTATATTGTTTTTCTATCTTTGGGCCTTTGGCAATGACTTTTAAAGTTAACGATGGAAATTTAAGGCTTTCCATTCTTGCTTCCTTAAAAATAAGAAAACAATAGAAGTGGAGATTGTTGACGATCAGTCGATCAATTGTAGCTCTGTTTGTAACCTAATGAGGGTTTCACATCAGGTACATGCCTCATTGTAGCATCACAGGAGAAACACATAATTAATTACTACATTACCAATAGGGTGTTAATATCCTACTTCACAGATTCCAAACTCACCTTATCAGGGGACCCTTTGATCCTCCAATTGAGAATCTCTGCACTGTAGATCACAAACATATACAGCTGTGTTAAGATGTAATTCTTGCAAATATAAAGTATAACAGATAGAATTGCCTTTTAAAACAATTTGAAAAGATTGGGAACTTAATAGTTAAACACAGCCAGACCAGCTGATACTTAAATTTTTTTTCTTTTTTTTTTTTTTTTTTTTTGGCAATTGATACTTCATAGTTTCAAGTTATTTAGAAAATTGTGTTTGAGTTAAAGATAGAAGATGAAAATTACTTGCACGATTCCTTGATTGCCAGAATTGAAGCTCCTTTTTTGCCAATCACACGTCCCATTTTCCCTGGTGGAACATCAAGAACAGAAAGGATTTCCTCTTCAGGAGCTTCTGTGTCCACAGGCAGGTCATCTGAACAATAAACACACCAGGTCAACAAGGTTCTCATCTCATCAAGGGGCAACCAAATTGTTCTGTGTTCACTCCAACAAGAATTACAACATAAAGTTGAAACACAGAATATTAGGTGATTACCAATATAGGCTTATGCCTCACAACAACCTCTTAAAGCAGGAAGTGAAAAAGGATAACTCGAGTCTGGCATCACATGCAAAGGAGAACAACAAATTTCATTACTGTCATTCATCAACAAGCTTCAGTTGCCACTCTCCAGTGGAGAGATGAGGAGACAATAACCTCAAGACCACACACCAAACGGAAACAAGCACAAATGCATGTGCACATGGAAAAAAATAATAATATTCAAGAAGAGAACAGCAAACAAACAACAGAGAAAACAGAGTAAACTGATATACAAAGTATATTCTCTTACTCTAAAGTTCTTTTACATGTCAAGGGTCCCCGGAATCATGGATGTAGAAAACTTTGACCATATTTTCCAAACCATCTAACATTATTCCTCCACTGTTCCCTCCATAAGGTGCTACTACCACTCCTCGGCTCTCACAATTTTCCTCCTACACCAATTTCATCTCCAAACATATAACACAATCCTTATTTCTACATCCAACTTGTAAAAATTTTACACATATAAATGAGTTTGCCCACCACAATTTTCATGACCCTAGTGAATTATTACAGTATTGAAGTGGAAAAAGATGCAAAAACAAAAGATTCTATAGAAGAATGTATTAACGGCATTTCTTCATTCTTCTCAAATTAATTTTGGCCCAACTTGCCAACCCATTTCTGGTGCAACTGATCTGGCACAGTTAGTCAGGCAAACTAAGTGGTCAATTACCCTCTACCCCCGGCCCCCACTAACCCCAGATTAAACCAAGGTGGGACCCTCAAAGATGGTAGGGGAGCCACACTCCTCCCCACAGGTACTGTGGAAGGAAAGGAATAACAGAAACTTCCTAGATAGAGCTATTGCTTCTAATTATCATAGGACCGAAATCTTTTCATGCCTTTGGGCTCGGGTTTACTCATATGTTTCATTAGGGTTTGTTTGAGATCCAATCAATTCTTTTTCGATATGTTCTTGACAATGAAGTACTGATTTTAGTTGTACATAACTTCTTGTTTCAATTTAAATCATGTTCTTTCTTTACGAAATAATAGCCACCACCTTGTAGTTTTTGAATCAAATTCCGCGATATAATTTGTGAGCATAACACTCTTCATTCATCAACATGCAGTCTTAAGGCAGTTTGAACCCCAAGATGTAGCTCCATATAAAAAGTGTGCGCATTAATCTTTACTTCTCTAGTGCCTACCCTAATGTCCAGCCATCTTTTGAAATTCATAAACAGTAAGGCTTCAACTCTGATAAAACTCTCCACATATACAACTTAGCATTCAGTCATTTGCTCCTTCTGACTTCTGAGACTTACCATGTTGGAAAATGTCATTCATCAAAAGCATGCACTGTCAACATGGGATGTTCAGTGTCACCAGCATGATCATCTGAGGATAAACAACAAAGTGAAATAACGAGGCCATATGCCATACCCTAGGCCTAGGTAAAAGATCTGAGTCATCTGACCCTTATGCCTCAAGGCACCACAACATCAAACACACAGAGACACAAAACTAAATAAATAAATAGATAAAAATTAATTTCTTGTACTTATCTAGGAAACTAGAAATTGCTCAAAAAAGAAAAGAAAAAGAGAGAGAGAGAGAGAGAGAGGGGGGGGGGGGGACTGATGTAAGTCAGTAAGGCTTCATAGTTTTGCCTTTAATCCTCAACAGAGATGAATTGCAAGCTTGAGCAACTAATTTTGGAATTTGAAAAAGACAAAAGCACTTGAAATTTTATTTTGTCCCACAAGAATTTTATAGCACTTCATATAGTAGCTACAAAATTTATATTTGTTTAATTTATGGCTAAAAGTATTGACAAACCTGGAATAGAAGGCAAAGCAGGCCATTCAGCCAAGTTATCATCATTTATACAGAAGCAGCGGCAATACAATTCACCACGAACTGCAAGGTTCCACAGAGATTGGGCATTTAGCTTCTCCATCATTTTGTGATAGATGTAAAGCAGAAAACGGACGTCATCAGCAGCTGCACGGATCATGAGGTCAGATAATGGCCTGTATTTCCAGAACTTTGGATCCTGAAAATAAAATACAAATATCAGTTAAAAAAAATTGGAACAGACAAGTTACTGTGCCAAAGGCCGGAATGGAGGGTTGATTACGTTAAATGTCCAAAAGGTAGCAAATATAACTGGTCCAACCATTTAAGTCATACAGCAGTCAAGTCATTTCTCTCTAAAATCTCAAGATAGTGCAAAATAACATTACATTCCAATCATCATCTAGCTTGTGTGGAAGCCAGTCAGAAAATATGATCATAGAGGAAAACTTATAGTGCATAACTATATGGAGCTACACTATTTGGGCTATTGCATTCATTAGTAAATTGTCAATTTGTCTTCATGACTCACTAGCACAGTGCTATATAGTTGAGAAGAATGTGCTTAATAGTAAAACATCCATGTACATAAACTTCTAAACATAGATTAATTACCAATGCCAAATTTCTTCTCTAAAACCAAGCAATCCTGACTTCCTAAGCCTAACCATTCTAATTTTAAAATACCCATAAAAAAATATGGGGAATGAGCCTAATGGACCCTATTAATCTAATGCCTAAAATGCATGGATCTTAAGAATATGAATGTACTTTTCAATCAACACAAAAATTGAAAGGAAAAAAAGGCAGCAGATGCATTTAGGCTTTAGCAATATTGGCATCATTTCAAAAACATTTTATTCAGTAGAACTCAATGTCTGGTCCCATCTTCAAACCAAAAATGACAGACTATTTGAAACTCACCTGCCTCAAGAGAACCCGAACCTCCTCCTTCTCAAGATAAGATATTCCTGTAGACGACATACATTAAAAAAAAAAAAGTTTTATATGAACGAAAATACAAATCAAGAACAGGAGTTCATGCATGATAAAACTCAATAGTTCACATTGCATAATGTAACACAAGCATATTAAGAAGATCATCAGTAAACAACGGCACAACACAACCCAAAATTTTATAAGTACAACCAATTTGGTCATGCCATCATACTAATGTGAATATTTAAGAGTATTAGCACTATGGATACGGCTTTGCAGGGCCAGAAATGACTGATTGCTGACTGAAAGTTTATAAAATCTGAGTTTGTGGCATGAAAATCAAGTAATCTCACCAGTGTAATACAAGGTCCGCCTAGGCGATGAGGCGCAAGCAACATAGGCCATACGCCTTTTTTTGGTCCAAGCAGGGCGGTTTTGGCAAGGAGCACAACTTTTTTCGCTTACCTTTATTTACATTTATTAAGTACGCTATGAGGTGCACCAAGGCACACCTAAGGCACAAGAAAATCCCTATCACCTTGACACACCTCAAGCAATCTTAATATGGATGAAGGTCTTCTAATGTCATGCCAATGCTAACCTCTAGGTAAAGTTTCACGGTTACATGACATTCACATATAGTACAATTTGAACACGTATCAGTTTTCACCAATCACAGGAAGACAATTTCATGGAGACCAAAAGACATTGCAGGACCAAAAAAAAAAAAAAAAATAAATAAAAGATCCACTTGTTGCAGGTTGCATTCTTGTTCGGAGCATTTATCATCAAAACCCAATTTAGAGGAAGCCAGGTCATACAAAAAGGAAACTAGAGGACTAGAGATTTACAAAGTAAATCACCACATCTAAATCCAAGATGCACATCATTCTCTAAGCATCAAGATTATAGTTAATGGGATAGCCAGCATGTACTTTTGCCAAATTAAGCAATCGATCTCCAAATAGTTGTTCAATTGAGATTTGAGATGTTATCACTCTTGTTCCAATAACCAACCAAAAATATTTTTTTACACTCTACCCTCCCCCTTTTATCTAAGACTCCAACCTAAAATTAGCATAAGCATATGCAAAAGTTGAATGCTCCCATAGATAAGAAATTTTGTCAACATATTGATAAAACAAATCTTCATTGGGCCATAAACAAGACCAAGGAGAGTTTGATCACAAACAAAGAAAGCAAGGTTCCAACCTACAACCAATTGGTAATAAAATAACCTACTAGTCTTATAAGTTGGTCATCCTTCCTCTCTTTCTTCAATGTAGTCTAACTAGTCCCTATATAAGTTATTTCTATACTACCCACATAGCACTACCCCTCATGTGAGCCATCTATAATCTAGCTATAAAATTAGGTCACTACCATCCTTGTAAATCCCTCTTTAGACTTCCAACACAAGGTCAATTGGTTGCAATTATGTTGGGCTACTTGCTCCAAACAAATACTCATATTCGTGTGTCGTCTCATCTAGCAATCTTTAAGTTATTCGACTTTCCTTTAGGCTTATAATAGGCCAGAATCGTCCGCTCGGCTACAAAGATAACTTTCATTAGGCAATACAAAAGCCATACCCGGAAAGATTGTTTGACTTAATACAAAAACAAAAAGGCGTCATATTAAACCAATTGGTTTATTGGAGGGAATATCTCATGAATCTTATAAGTTAGTCGCCCTTCCTCTCTTTCTCTACTATGGGACAGCTAATCTCAACTCCCTTGTGAATTTCCTAGCACAATATCTAGAATTCTATACAAATGAATTAATACTTGCTTACAGATTAAGACTGGTAAATAGGCAGTGGAGTGCCAACCATACTAGTCTTACTGTAACTAAGATGAACTTTCCTAGTTTCAAAATCTAGTAACTAGTAAGAAAAGTCTAATTATACGAGATAAGGATATGATACACAGAAAAAATCTGGATGAACTCCCAAACAATTTTACCCGTATTAAAAGCATAGTTTACCTAAGTTCAGGTACAGCTTACCCTAGTAAAAGTAACCCACACTTAAGTAAAATTTTGAAGGTGTGGTCTATAGTTCTACACTGTACTCCTTATTGTTAGACACTTTCATTTCAGGGTAAAAGCATATTAAAAGTTAGGCACAATAAAATAAATACCGTGACAAGTGTAATACCACAATAGCGTGGATCTGCAAGAAGAGAAACAAATGAGATGTAGTCATCGGGCCCTTTGGGACGTCCATCCTGTTCTTCAATCAAGGTATATGCTATCTGTGAAATATATATATCAATCACATCAGTTCATGTAGGATTTTAAATTTTCTACATCCATGACAGAAAAATTTAAGCAATACAGTGACTATAGTCAACCAGTAACATGCCCTTAACAAGAGGATGCGAATGAAAAACAAATGCATATTCATAGTAAGCACTTCTAAGAAACCAATCCAGAGAAGATGAATCTCACTGTGTGAGGTCAACCAAAATGATACTTCGCTTACAATCCAGCACACGAGAAAGCTCATACTCATGCGACAATTAATTAGTCAAATTGCTCTGCATTTTTACTAGTTGAATCGCATAAGTAAGTTGCCACTTGCCAGATGTTAGAGGGAAAAGGCTAATTAAACCAAGTCATGAAGCCGAGTAAAAAGAAATTGGTATTTAGGTGCCATGAATCAGTAAGTACATACTCTTTCCATTCTCTTTTGCTCTACTCACTTTCCATTAGTCCGTTCTTTTTCATTCTACTCACTTTGCTTTATTCTATTTTAGCATATACGTTTCACCATCTTACCCATTTACCCTACAATTATTAACTTTTTCGCACTCCCTCTTAATTCACCTTTTTCTTACACCCACCCACCTTTTTACATTATCTCTCTTACTTTATCCTACTTTTATCTTACACCCCACTCCCCATTTTCAATATTTTTTTAAATTACGTATCTATAGTAGGTGAGTATATATAACATAAAAAGAACGGAGGGAGTATAAAATACTTACACTAGAGACAAAAATAATAAAAATAAAAAGAAAGTTGAAGCAGCTCAAAAGAGATTTTTCACATCCCAACATAACATTCTTCAGCATAAATAGTTCAATAAGGTCCAAAGATGCAGTACTTTGGCCATTGTATATACTTTTCATACTTAGAGAGTAAGTAATGGACTGGCCTGGCATTATAGGTAGTGCAATTACTGCAATATAATTCAGTTGTAGTATCTTGAGGAGGAAGATAAGTGAGTGGCGTAGAGGGGAAATGCTATAAATAAGAGCAAATTAGTGAGAGAATGGGAAAGAGGATATTCATTCTGTGTTCATCTCAGTTTTTGTTGTTACAGTTTGGGAGAGAACAAGCCTCTTGAAAGCTTGAGTTATATTTAATTTTTCTGTGATTTCTTGCTTTTATAGAAAATGTCCTCTTCTTCTTCCTTAATTTTCTGCCCAAATATCAGTAATGAACAACGCAAATAATTATTGTGTTCTTCTAGGCATCAAATTGGGAAGAATGCAATGCCCTTCCTCTAACACTGTTCTAAACAAACCAAGTATTATAGAATACGGAGAGGTGGTGTAAGTACAGAAGGATAAAAGTCATAAAAATTGAGACTTTGGGATCATGAACAAAAATAATGTAAAAGGAAGACAGGAGGGAACAGAAAATCCACTGGGGTCTTCTAAGAAAATTTAATTAAACATTCATAAACACACTAAGTGAAATAAAGCATGAATTGCAAGAGTTCTTTCACTAAGCCACAGCCGCATCAAGGATTGACCGGATATTGTTTGTAATGAAGATACTGAATCAAAATAACAAATGTACGGATATGTAAAAAGGGAGAGACTCCTAAAGATAACAGGATAAATTCCTCAGGGAAGCACAATAACTAACTGGTCCAAATTTTGCAAATTTCTAAATTCCTATACCTTAGAAGACCCTAAACAGGTTCTTGAATACAAAAAATGTGTTTTAAATATTCATGATAGTACACTAAGAATCACAATAGGGACAAAACAAACGTTTGACTTCTCACAATTACATCACTAGATTCACTACCACATGCAGCCAAAATATCAAAATTCACATAGAAGCAATTCGGCAAACGTGAGGTACATAAATAAAGCTACTCCGTATCCGTATATTGACTGATCAGATATACAGAAAAATGCTAACCTGGGTGTCCATGACATTATGTAACTTGATGCCAAACTGGAAATATAATGCCTAGAAAATGGAAAGTCGTCAAATATTTTAGTTCAAAGCAAAACATCAATCAATTATAGATGGTGGATAGACAAATTAGAGACCTCACTGTCACGTTTGCAGTCATGTATAACTTTAGTGATGTATCTAGATTCAAGAGCAGGCTTACATGCTTCTATGAGCATGTCTCCACCTTCTATGGCATCCACAAGATATATCGCATCAGGAAATGCAATCTGCAATTAAGCGAAAAGTAAGCCACTACATTCAACTCAAACTATGAAAAATGATCTAAACTATACTAGTTACAAAATATACACACATACAATACTTTTTCACTGCTCCCATAGTAATATCAATCTACAAGTCCCACACAAAGTAAAAAAGTAAAATCTACTCGCTGTATAGCTGCACCCAGTACAGCAAGATCATATGGTTGTCAATTATGAGATCCGTAAAATCAAATCAAATACAAATTCAGTGTTCAAGAAACCAAACACCCAACAGCAACAAACTACCTCCACCCCCCAACCAACCCTACCCGTCAATAATCAAGCACAAAAAAAAAAAAAAAGGAAATTTTAACTGATGCCTCAAGAATAACAGGAATAGTCAATCACCTGCATGATACAAAGAGTTCCATAACGGCACAGGTCAACACCCTCACAATCGAAGCCAATTACCAGCTTTGTTTCAGGACTGGGCTCTAAGAACTCCACTGGAAGCTGTGAAGCTTCGGTGATAATATAAATTGGAACTGGTGGAGCATCATCGGAAACTAACCCACCTGTACAAAATACAGTTGATCGTGTCAAACTGTCAACTAAACAAATATACAAATGAATGATTTTGATCTTTACCTCTTCGTTTCCATGACACAGATTCATGGAAACATAAAGATGGTGAGGGGAATAACATATAACAAAGAGATATGAATATACATTGCTTTCCTCTTATATTAGGTAAATACTTCTACCACTAAGATTTCCTATCAACAACCCATGTAAATATGGACTGCAACCGAAAGCCCAATCATCAGCCAAAATGGCACCCCCAATTCAGATTATCCCAGAACCCAACGGAGAATCAACTAGAGATGAAGTAAACAAATCATTTCTCCTAAAAAAAGGTAATAAACAAAATGCTGGGTCATACTTTAATTTTCAATCAACTCAACATAACTAAGACCCCAAATCCTCCATATATGAACATATACAACCACAGCATCAAATAAACTAAGCATGCAATTCGTCGCCACGAGAGACATCAGCAGCACCATTTTTGTCTAAATTATGCACTACCTTTACCATTTCAGTATTCAATACAGGCAAAAACTACAGCTCCATCAGACCAAAAAAGTCATACACAAAAATCATCCAATAACCTAATGTCAATTTCATAACACCAAAGTTCCAAAAAAATCTATATAAACATATTCAATCAAAATACCAAAAACGATGAAACAACATATAAAACAGTTCTACAAACCATATATGCAACAATGGCAACAACAAAATAACAAATGAAAATAAACCCAATTCAAAAAACAACAAATTTCACCAAAAATAGAGTTTATTCAAATACCATTAAAATGTTTGAATAAATTTATAAACTATATTACAAATGCTAAACCATAACTCCAAAAAATAATCAACAAATCCAAAAATAATTCATAAAAAAAAATTAAACAGAGGTTTAATAGGAAGAAATTGAACCTGGGTTCGAAGGCAATGGAACATGGGCGAGGTGGGAAGGAGGATCGTCCGCCATCTGATCAGACCATTACAAGACTGATCGGATTTTTGGCTCAAACCTCACTTTTTTCTCTGTTTTTAAGTTTCTATTATTTTGGGTATTTTTTTTAAGGACACTATAGTGTATTTATAGCCCAGTGATTTTGAAATTTCACCTTATTTATCTCCCCCTTTTTCTAGAATTTTACAAGTATTTTATTTTCGTTTTTCTTGTCTTGTAGAAAAATTAAGACCTATATTGACCAATAAGATTCTTACATGTCATTGAAGAAAAGGGTTAATTGGTTTAAGGGTTTAGAGTGGCATATTTATATCAGAATTAGACTCGCCGCTAGTTTATGCTTGTACTGTTTATAAGAAAGTTTGTTTAAAAAAAAATTAAAATGTTAATTCAATTTTTGTGAGGTGGACTCGTGGTTTTGATTGTATGGGATTACGATCTGCAAAAATACACCCCTTTAAGATCTGATATCTCAATAGATGATATCAGTGTGAACATTTTTAAGATGTAATCAAGTATTCATTAGCTGCGTATCCCAAAGGATAGGATAAGTATAACTCTATCTGATCCATTTCAATTTATTTGAAATTCTTTAATTAATCAAAAGTACGGAAGGAGTTGTAGTGCAAGAAAAATATATTGAGGTTAGGGTTATCAATTTGGGCAAATAGGTTGGGTTCAGGTCTATAGTTAAGTCGGGCTATAGGTCATGTTTTAAGTTGGGTCCCTTGCCACTAAGTTGAGTTTAAATTCAAATCGACAAAGGTCAATTTATATTATGACGAGTCGTTACCTTTTTGGGTGCAGGTTAGGTTTTATTGGAGTCACATTAGGGTTGGGTTCATTTTCAAAATCGGCTTGTGTTGAGTCCATTTAAAGGCAATTTTATGGTGGGTTTATTCTGGTTTGGGTGAAGTTTAGGTTAGATTATTCTCAAATTGTATCAATTCAGGTTAGGTCATTTGTAGTATCCGATCAATTTCAGTTCATTATATAATGTCGAGGTCGAGTAATGTTTGAATTAAGCCAATCACAGTTAGGTCAAGTCATTCTTGGGTTCGAGTCGGATCTATATAAGGTTGAGTCAGGTTTAAAGCTTAAAATTCTATATCGAAGATGAATACAAACAATTATGTTCAGTTTATTTTGAGATTAAGTTTTATACATACAAATCAAAATTTTGGTTAAGTCGATTATTATTTGTCTTTTTAAGTGCCCCAATTTGACTAAACGCGTGTGTCAATATTTGATTAATAATATTTTTAATTATTAATTAGTATAAAATATAAAAAATTGATATTCGAAAACTATACATTGAGACGTTTTTACAACTTATGGATAAATTATTAACAATGGTTAAAATGGATTATAATAATTCAAAAAAAGTCAAAGTTAGGAGCTTAAAAAAAAGAAAAAAGTAGTAAAGTTCATTTTCCATTGCTATATCAATATTTGTTGTTCACCCAAATTTGAAACCAATATTAATAAAGTAATAAGTAATATAAATAAAATGTTTGTATTTCTACAAAGTCAAGGAAATTGTGCTATAGGGATAATTTAAGTTTGACTTTGCTTCACTTATGTGGGTTAAAAAATACGGATTAGGTAGGGTTGACTTCTAATCTTATGCTAGTTTCGGGTCAATGGCAAGTCTAGTTAATAATTGATGGAATGTAATTAGGTTATGAGTAGAGGTGGTCGTTGGGCAGTCAGGCCGAGGCCAAAACAATTAGCCTATTTTTCAGGTTGGGCCAAGCTTTAGACCAAAAAGTATGTGCCCGAACTCGGTCAAAATGGCTAGGCCGTGCGGCTTTTTGAGTCGGGCTAAAATTAACTAAAAAATTGCATAAAAACGAATGCCCTAGAAAGCCCAAAAAAAATTAAAAAATAGGCGAGGCTTGGCCTGTCCTGATCTCGGGCCGAAAAACCCGCCCAAAATCGGGCCACCGGGCCAGCCTAACTTTGATCAGCTCTAGTTATGAGTTAGCACAAGTAGAGCATATAATTAAAATATGAATCTTGTACGTTGTTCCTCCATTCTTTTTCACATGTTTAGATTCTACTTTAAGTGCTACACTTCCTTTGTTCTGGTAATTGACACTTTTTTTTAAAAAAAAATAAATAAAAAAAAAAACTCATATCCTGTTTACCAATACATAATTTCAACTATTAATATCTCTAATTATTTATAAGTAAAAATTTTATAACGTTGATATTATGAAAATATACGTTGAGGTGATTCTAACCAAATCCCACATGATTATATTTTTATCAAAACTACAAATCACAAAAAGGTAGTTAAAGTAGAGTTTGTGAATAGTGTGAAATATCAAAACGTTACAACTAAAAATAAATAGACCTATCCGAGCGTAGGTTCATTGTAAGTTATAAAGTATTAGGTCTAATCGTTACCGAATAATATCATATTTGGTTTAGGTTGTGTTACATATATATCAATAATTTCACCTAGTTTTCAAGTACAAGTTGCATGAACGCATATTATTGTCAATATAAGTCTGTTTCTCTAATTCAAGTTATTCTTAATAACTTTAATTGGGGCAAGGGTGGTAGAGGAGGATAAATGATTTGACTGTGAATGTGAAATTATTTTATTCAATGAAACCTACACTATTAGAATGTTAGGTTTTATTTAGTTTTTCAATTTTATTATAGAATTAGAATTATTGTTACTAAATTATATTAATTGATTAAAACTTGTTAATAATTGAAATTTATTTTCTTGAATCGAACTGATTTGTGTTAAATCACTGGAAACTGGTGTGTCTCCCTTGTTTTTTTAAGTGCCTTTTAAGATATGCACATTCTTCAACATGAAACTTTGAACAATAATATTGTTAATTGATTAAAAGATATTACAAAAATTAAAAATTACACATTTGATAATTTAAAATCAAGACGAATCTTACAAAATCCCACGTGATTATGTTTTGCCGTATAGAAAATCGTTTAAGTATTAAATTCCATTTTCAATAAAATCTCTTAAGATTTCAAATGAGACAAACAAAGGAAACAGAGGGAATACAAAAAGTAGGTATTTAGAACATAGTACATACTGTTGAGACGATTCTAATAAGTATGTTTTGTTTACAATTTCAAAAAGTGGTGTACGTAAATACAAAGTCAAAATGTGACACTTAATGTAGTACTTATTACAAGATGTTACCAATTTTGATGGAATAAACTTGATTTTTATATAGTATTGTATAATTTTTTTTCATTTATTATTAAAATTAAATTACTAATTAAACCTCGTTGTTTTTGACAAAAACTTCATTATTATTGGGAAATTTTCACTTGTGCTACCACTAAAACAACCCTGTTTCACTTTTGCTACCGCTCAAATTTTTTATTTTATTTTACTACCACTAAAAATCACATATTTTAAAATTTGCTACCAGTTGACGGAAGCTGTTAGTTTTGCCGTTTGTGGGCCCCTTCACCCCTGCCCCTCTCTCTCCTCCTTCCCCAGCCACCAATCCCCTTCCCCTGCCTCTCTCTCCTCCTTTCCCAGCCACCAATCCCCTTCCCCTGCCACTCCCCCTCCACCCCCTAGCCACTTGTCCCGCATCTCCCCTTCCCCTGCCGCTCCCCAAAATCGATGCACTACCCCATAACCCCAACTCCGGCGACGGTGAGAGTTTCGAGGGTGGGGTTGTTGGGGTTTCGAGGGGGTCACCGGAGATCGAAAAGGTTTAGGGTTAGGGTGGCCGAAAAGGGTAGGGGAAGGGGAGGAGGGTCGATTTCGGTGGGAGAATGGGGAGGGGGGCCGATTCCGGTGGGCGAATGGGGAGGGGGTGGTTTCTGGTTTGGGGTGGGGTCGGGGCAGCGAGAAGGGGAAAAACGAGGGGGGTGGCTGCGTAGGTGGGGGAAAGGGATTGGGGGGTGGCTGCGTAGGTGGGGGTTGCCGGCGTTGGTGGGGGAAAGGGATTGGGGGGTGGCTACGTAGGTGGGGGTCGTCAGCGTTGGTGGGGGAAAGAGATTGGGGTGGGGTCGCCGGCGTTGGCCCAAGTTTTGGCCGCCGGCCGCCGGCAGGGGGGAGGGGGAGGGTGGCTGACGGGAGGGGGGGCAATTAAGGGTGGCTGAGTTTTTTTTTTTTTTTTTTAATTGTTTTTTTTTTTGAATAAACTTAACGGGTGATAGCAAATTTTAACAAAGGTGTTTTTAGGTGGTAGTAAAATAAAAATAAAAAAAAACTTAAAGGGTAGCAAAAGTGAAACAGGGGTGTTTTAGTGGTTCAAAAGTGAAAATACCCTTATTATTGCTTATCCACGCGCCATATAATTTCCTAACTTGAAAACTCTCAAATCTTAATTTTCATTCCCTTTTTTCTTCACACATTGCGTAGTAAGTGGGAGGCTAATGAGTCAAGACAATGCTTACCATGAAGATAAACAATATAAATTCAGTTCCCTTTATCCACAAAAGAGGGCTTGACAATTTTTTTTTAAAAGCGCCAATTGCTTAACATAAAATGAAGCATAGAGAGAGACTAAAATGAAATTCAGTAATCATATAATTTTGTGTTCGTCCCACCGTCAATCAATTTCAATAATCTGTAAGCTGAGATGTCCGTGCACAGTAACTTCTATACTAGTGGGAACTTTGATGACAAAAGGTTTTGATCACTATTATTTCACTACAATCATTTTACTGGATAATATATATATATATATATATATATATATATATATATATATATATATATATATATATATATATATATATTTTAAAAAGTTGATAATTAAATATTCAATTTTTTAATATCTAAAACTTTTAATCGAGCATCATGGTTAGTAGTAGTACTAATTAGGAAAATCATTATAAATTTCACCAAAACTCCAATTTTAAAAACTCGTTACTCAACTATAATTACTTTTTAACGATTATCAACTTCACATTGAATTACTTAACCGCGTGGTACATGACTTACCTCGACAAAAAAAATAGTAATTCTTAAATCTTCCCTCAAAAACCTCCCTTTTTTTTTTTTTTTAATATATATCAAGTCATAATCAGATACCTAAACCATAAATCTATTCTTTGGAGGATAGTTAAAATAATCCATTTTAAGGATAGTTAACAATAATCCAT